CTCACTGACTCTAATTAACACTTCTTCATTTCTCACATAATCGGTCCAACTGATCTTCTCCATCCTTCTCCAACACCACATTTCGAAACTTTCCAGATGTTTCTGATCTACTGCCCTAAGTGTCCATGTTTCAGCCCCATACAGAGCTATGCTCCAAATGTCGCATTTCACTAGTTGGAAAATTCATGAGTAGCTGCACAACTGGCGGCTTATCAAGAAAGGCTCAGCTGCATGAAGTTAGTTAGTTATAATAAGAATTACAGATTTGTACCAGCAAGAAATTAATATAAATAGCGTAGTCAGTATATCAACTGGCTACCGGCAGGGCGACCTAGGGGTCGGTGTTCGAGTCCCGGTATGGTGAAGAATTTTCTCTTCTCCACGTCGTCCAGACCGACTCTGGGGTCCGCTCAACCTCCTATCCAATGGGTAGGGCGGGCTCTTTCCCCGGGGGCAAAGCGGCCGGGCCGTGAAGCTAGCCTCTCACCTACAGCTAGTGCCGAGATCAAGAAAATATGGATCTATTCTACACTACCCCATACACCTTCATGGCGTAGTGCTTAATTAGTTAAGTACAGGGACAACTTTTAGTTTAAGTCGCAACTTAGAACACGAAATATCCAGACACTGTGACGAAAACTGTCATTAGTGCTATAATTCCTAAAGTTTTAATTACATTGTTACCAGACAAGTTTACATTAATTACAATTATTGCTCAGGATATAAACAAAAGAGCAGCATACATCAACCGCCAAAGGACCAACAGAAAAAGGTCTGTAAAACTTGCCGCTCCAAGCTTGGGACGTCTGTGCTGTGGCCCCGGCACTCCGAAGGTACATCTGTTAGCACTTCTGTGGATCTGAAGATGGCTACGTGTACGTTCTGATAAATGTCTGACGAGCAGTGCAAAATGATTAACATACTAACGTAAAAAGAAGTACAAGTAAATAAAAAGGTGTGATTTTGCTTTAGAAGTGGCTGATACAAATACAGCATTTTTGCTTTCCCTCCACACAACAACTGTTGAACATAGGCGACTGTTACATTGTTGAACTGAAACGTGCCAACAGATGTCGTGTAGATGGACTCTTGTGCGTTATCCCAATTTTACCGCCCATTAAAAATCTCTTAATTTTCAGTCTTTTATTTGTCCCTTTTGGAGGAGACAAGGAATGCATATACTCGTAGGATATTGGTTGGAAAGTCAGAATGAAAGAGACCACTTTGAAGACCAAGGCTTAGGTGGGTGGACAATATTAAAATGGATCTTCGGGGGATATGATGGGGTGGTATGGATTTGATTCGATCTAGCTCAGGACATGGCCAGTGGAGGGCTCTTGTGAACACGGTAATGAACCTTCGGGTTCCATAAAATGCTGCGAAATTCTTGAGTAGCTGCAGAATTGGCGGCTCCTCAAGAAGGGCTCAGCCCCGGAAGTAAGTAAGTGTTTGTCCCTTTTGTTTTATCGCGACTTCCGTTATGCTCAAGAATTTTCTGCATTTGTCTTTCAAATTTCTGTTTCTTTCTTGAATGTTGCTCATCGGTGGTTACATAACGCCCGCAAACAATTCCCTCTGAAACTTGAAATCGATTTCATTCTGGCTGTTGCTTTGCAAGCGCTGCTGTATCTACGGCCCGCATTCTCTCTCTCTTTCGGTCTTCTGGCTATGAGTCCTCAACTGCATGACTGCTGACGATAAGAACGCCATTTGATTTCTTCAGTGTCGCGTTATCTTCAGAGTGGAACGTTTTTGCAACAACGGCAATATTTTTCACTTCTTTTGTTTCTTTCGTGCAAATAAGGTTTCTTGCTTCGTTTCTTTATTCTAAAGACATAAAAATATAAGGCAAATCTGTCCCTACGCGCCACGCCATCAAGTTGTATAGGGGGAGTGAAGATATAGCTCCACCATTTTTGACCTCATACTTGACAGACGTGACTGGTCAGCTTCACGCCACTGTCACTTTACCCCCGGAGAAAGTGCCCTCGGAAACCACTGGATACGAGGCTTGGTGGACCCTAGAGGCGGTCTGGACGCTGTGGGGAAGAGAGAAGTCGGTTACCTCTGTCGGGATTCCAACCACGGACTCCCAGCCCGTAGCCCTTCGCTATGCCGACTGAGCTACCCGGCTATTCTAAAGAAATAAATTTTCTATTAGAAAACGAAAAAAATGACCAGCGGCAGGAAGTCAATACAGAAGACCCAAGCACTGCACTAGACTTTCTCAATAACTGTGTTGGTGTGTTTCCTTGTTCCACGGTTACCGGGAAGATCATACGCCTAAGAGTTCAGTTCTATTTATAAACCGGTAACATAACGGGATATGACTCGATACATCCAATTTCCTATACAAACCTGCACAGCTTTTTGGCCTTGATGCCTGTTTATTGCAAACATAAATCCAATATAGTGGAGCTAAATGCACTAGACACAATATTTATCAGAGTTAGACATTAGTTATCATTTTGCTTTGAGGAGCTATTTAAAGGAAATAGAGGCTCCGGTCTAGAAAAACGAAATTAACTGCCATGGGGATTAATTGAGCTGACCACTCGGCACCCTCTATCCGCTAAAGGTGGTACTAACTTCGCCGACAAGCGGCGGTCGCTCGGTCGGTATAGTTCGCTTGCGGACTCAAGCCACGGAATTTACTTCCTTTAGCATATCTCAAGCATACCGAAAAATATTTCAAGTCGAACTTATACACACAAATGAGCAGTAGCAATAAATACATACAGAACCTGGACTAATACTAAGGAAGCCGGCATTTTCCCAGAGCGTGTTTGTTAGTTCCAAATGGCTGTGTGCCATAACAAGAAGTCTATAAACCGCGCACGAATATACGGAGTTCCCACATTCGTTCAACTTTGAATTCTGAAAGCTTCTTGTTGCTACACATGTAATCGTTGCATCTATTAAAATATTAAGTATGCTTACAACTTCCGATATAATGTTCATGCTACTCCCTACTACATCTATCGCACATAACACCAATGATTCACGCAGCCACCATGTTTTCAGCTGTAGGCTCATACACAATACTTAAACGCAAAAGTTGTAAGTATATTTATGACCTATCTCCATAGCAGTTTTCACCTGCCTAACCCCAGTGGCTCATTAGTAATCCCCATCGAACTGAAATAGAGATACGAACCGTATGTAGCCGCCATGTTGTTGCCTTATATTCTGCAAAATATATATCAACAAAAATTGAATATTTTTCAAAGCTGTAACCATATCATTTCAGGGTCCTATAGGTGCAATTATCGTGTGGAAGCTGGTTATAAAACCGCCACCTTAGTTAGCCCTGCGAATCGTACGTAGGAGGCGACGAAAACAGAACACTGCGCCTGAGGGTATAACCGGGCCACCTTGTCACTGGGGGACATGAATACAGGGACCTAGTCCTCTACGTTGGGCCTTTGACGTAAGGCTGACGACCTTGCTCTGTAAAAAAATATATTGTTGCGACATTCAAAGAAATGAAAACCGGATGAAATGTGACAGAAATTTCTAAGAAGTGTATGGCTCCAAAAGGGTTGCTTTGTCAGATGATGATGATGATGATAGGTGGCGCTAGTGCCGCCCCCACCTCGCAAGCTCGCACTGTAGTAATTCTAGGCTGTATATCACAACCTTGAAAGGCATAAGCCCACATCGAATTTCATCAAAATCCTTCAATCAGTTCTCGAGGTGAAAGGTGTGGGCATGATCATCTTTTATATTTCCTGTGAAGACCAAATAACAAGGATTTTCGCGCTGGATATTACTGGCCGAATTAGCTTTACAATAGCTATATGGGATATATTCTGTGAGGTATGATTCAAATTATAAATTTCTCAGATATGCTTTGCCCTTTATAGGGGTTGGCAGCCGGGCTAGCGTAGTCGGTACAGCGACTGGCTAGGGGCTGGACGACCAATGGGTCGGAGTTCGAGTCCCGAGAAAGTCAAGAATTTTCTCTTATCCACGTCGTCCAGACCGGCTCTGGGGCCACCCAACCTCCTATCCAATGGGTACCGGGGGTAAAGTGGCCGGGGCGTGAAGCTGCCCATTCACCTCCAGTTAATGCCGAGGTCAAGAAAATGTGGATCTATACATCCACTCCTCCATACACCTTCATGGCGCAGTGTTTAATTTGTTAAGCACAAGGACAACTTTACCTTCATAATGGTTAAATGACACACTTCACGGCAGCTACTGCTATTTTCAGGGGAACAATTTTGGGAAATATCGATAAATTTAAGTTTGAGCTTCATTTAATTTATGGGCTATATTGGTCAAATACGAAGATATATTTATCGGCTCGATAAATTTTAGTGTAGATCCCAATATCAAATTTTGTTGAAATCCGTTCACTGGTTTTCGAGATGAATCGTTCTAGCAAGCACAGACACTGTGTCACTACTTCGCGTTCATTTCAACCTCGTTCTGTAATACATAATAACCGACGTGTTGTGAAAACTTTGTTTGCATACTAATTTAATGGCACTTTGTAAATTACTGCCGTTATAATGCACCTAATTATTCATTCAATGACGATAATATTGAATGTAAAAGGATAAGCAGGTAAGATGCCGTGGTCTGTTTTAACGTAATAATCCGGCACTGCTTGGTGAGATTAAAGAAAATAAAAGAAATCTGTCACTAACTGGATTTGAACTGAAGGCCTTTGAAATATGGTGAAGTAATATTAAACGTTATATAATGAAATTAACTGTGACGTCCTCATTCTTACAATAAATGACATTTTGAGGATTTCATTCTGTAAATGTATTTTGAAAAAAATCGGTTACGAAAAAAATATATTTTATTCTGCAGCTTTAGGAAACTGAGTGCTGGCATAAATGTCCAACCCTTTTATTGGCGCATTTTGCTGCAGAAACATTCCTTGCGTCGTTCTAGATAATATGTATCAACCTGCTACTTCCATTCTAAAATACAGATATACACAAAAGATGCTACTGATATTAATATCAATAATAAATCTGACTTACCACATGAAGCCTTTAATTTCGTGTTTCCTCCGGAAAGTAAGAAGCAGATCTCAATTTACAGCCCCGTTTCACTGCGCATGAACACAACAACGAGAATGTCTGTTACACCACGCGCCTTGAATCCGAACAAACACACAAACGAGCACACATGCTATAGCGCTCTACTCACACCAACCTGCGCGCCGTCTGGCAGGAGACTAACACGACTCGGCAGCGAGCGGAGAGTTTTCCCACTTCGCCGTCCGTAGGTTTGCATTGACTTAAAAGCGCTGCTATTCGTGAGCTCTTGGGGCGGCGAAAATAAAACTATGACTTAAGGTTCTCACGGCGGTGAGTATCAAGAATACGGTTTTCTAGACGTTTCTTAGGAAAACGCTACGTTCGTCTTTAGAGTAGAAGAACCCCTGAAAATGAACACAGCACATTCGCCGGAAACTTAGGTAAACATCTACCAAACTAGGGGGGCACGCGGTAGCGTAGTTGCTTCAGGCACTATGCTACAAGCCGGAAGGTCGCGGGTTCAAGTTCCGATGAGGTCATTGAATTTTTTCAATTGATCTAATACTTCCGGCCGCACTATGGCTCTGGAGTCGACTAAGCCTCTAACAGAAATGAGTACCAGGAATTAAATAAATAATTTTGTTGGGGAGTAAAGCGCGGCCGGCGCGTAAGGCTGAGAACCTTACCGCCATATTTAAGCCGATTGTCTAGATAATGTGGGACCCTCAACGCCTCACAACCCTATGGGCCTTCACGGCCTGTTTTAGGGATAGCTTTACTTTACTTACTACCAAACTACACGGCTTCACATAACATAACGTTCTTTGAACGTATCAGTGGTATGGAAATGAAGAAATAAAGTTTATTTGAGAAAGCAACAGACGTTTGTTTCACTCAGGAAGTTAACGCTTTAAAGAGTGAGTTTCTTTGCAAATAGCACACAGGAATGCAGTTCGCACGTCACAGGAAACGCCGGTTGATGCTGTTACGAGCAGGTTGCTTGTATTCTTCACCTGCTCGATTCGAAGCTTGTGCAGGGTAACGGCTATATTGACTGAGATTTCCGGCGGTTTTCACAAGTCCATCCAGGCAAATGCCAGCATACCAGAGCCGCTTCCTTCCAAATCCTTTCCAATTCATTATATTATCCGGTGCTATAGATCCTGAGGTACGAACTGTGTCTCTAAACAAAACGTAAACGAAAAGAAAACAAATGACGTGGCAGATTAACGTAATCATCTTCAGTTTAGCAGTGTAGGCCTGCTGTACCTGTGACGCGTCCTTTCGAAATTGGTCGTTCTCTCTCTTTCAAGATTATCCAATTAGCTTGTGGCTGAAGTTCACACAGTTGTGTACTCTTCCAAGAAGAAACTGCTATGCTGTATGTTCATCTCACAAATATTTTACAATCCTAGTTTATCATATTTTATTTCTTTCACTTACTTTTTATCAAGTCTGGTGTGTCCTACGCTCTTCTCAGACGCCGTATTTCATGTAGATGCTTCTGGTTCTTCTTGTTTTCTTCTCAGTATCCAGTGTTCGCTAACATGTAGCAATGTTGAGACCCATCCTTATGCAGGCCCATAGACGGCTATAATGCTTTCTATTGTCTCTGTCATGTCACGCATATTGTCAGAGTTAGTTGTAGTTACGAACAGGATTAGAAGGTGGTAACAATGGGAACTATGAAGAATGCCGTCTTCTGGGATGTAACGCCGTGTAGGTATTTTGGAAATAGACGTTTCGGAGGAACTTATCGCCTCCATCTTCACGGTATAAAAATCCGCGTTCGAGGAACCAACGTTAGCATATTGGCTGATGATGAAGGCGATACATTCCTCCGAAACGTCGGTTTACACAATATCTACATGGCGCCCCATCCTAGAAGACGACACTCTTCATAGTCACTGCCGTGAAAACCTCAAATCTTGCAATGGAATCATGTTTCAGTCGGTATTACACTGTCTGTCCTCACGGAAAATAGTAGTAGCACCGCTTACTAGACGTTATTTTTATCCGTTTTAGTATTTTAATCAATATAACGACTGGCTACGGGCTGAACGACCCGAGGAGTCGGAATTCGAGTCCCTAAAAAGTCAAGAATTTTCTCGCCTCCACGTCGTCCAGACTGGTTCTGAGGCTCACCCAGCCCCCCATCCAATGGGTGCAGGGGGCTCTTTCCCAGAAGTTAAAGCGGCCGGGGCGTGAAGCTGACCATTCACTTTTTACTAGTGCCGAGGTCAAGAAAATGTGCCTCTAAACATCCACTCCCCCATACGCCTTCATGTGTAGTTCTTAATTAGTCAAGCACAGGGACAACTTTACGTTACCCTTTAGTACGTATCATAATGCATTCCTGCATATGGCTCTCTTGTCAGTTGCATTAGTTGTTTGCAACGAAGTTCTTCAACAAATTTCCTTTGAAATTTCAATAGTCTTTATGCTACTAATTTTCTAAAATATCAGTATGGTTTGCTTTCGTACTTTCTCATACAATAGTCATATTAGAGTTTAATAGAAATATATAAATTCATTCTCTTTTCTCTACACCTATATTTTCCAACCCCCTCGTTGGGGGTTGTCTCCACCTTATCGTGGTGAGGGGGTTTGAGTATGCCAAGGACCCTGAGAGCTATACCAGCGGTAGCGTAGCTACTGGCAGGGCCTCCCTTGCTGGAAAGGTCAAAGGGTAGGCATCAGACGAAGAGAGACACCAAAAACTGATGCCGGAAGCAGCGTCATCAGCAGCGACTTGAAGCACAGAGCAAATGATGCTCGAGATGGTTCAAGTTCGTATAGCAACAGGCGTGACCAGAGTGGTTTGAACGGCTGCTGTACTGCGATGTGGAAAGCAAATGGAAAAACTACCACATTATCACTTTTCCTGGATAGTCTCTTTCCAAAAACAGAAGATCGCATTAAGTGGAGGAACTGTTTTGGAAGAGACTGTGGACCTGTCGTCTGACAGATTACTGATGGATGGATGGATATTTTCCAAATATGATATCCCACAGGAAATGAGTTTCACATTTAATAATTCTGAGCTGCATTTACAGAAGTTTCTCACGAGACGCTCCGACTCATGACCAAAGAAACGTGATCCCATCATGCCTCCGAATAAAAATAATTATTCACGAGTTTCTAGAATATCTCCGATTTATATTCTGTCAGTATTTTCAGGCCAGTATGTGACTGCAAACAAATCATGCGAGGAAAGAAATATTCTTTCGCAACCTTGGATCAAATGACCACAAACTTTCTTTTTAAATCCTCCTCTAGTGTTGCTCCACTTCGCGTACAGCTGTAAAGCATTCTTTCGAAACCTTCACGGGCAGCACTGGTCATGAATTAGGAGAACAATGAGAGATTTTAAGCAAAAAAATTTGCCTTATTAATCTAAACAAATGCCCGACTGGTCAAACTCAGCGTAATGCAAAATTCTCCAGGAAACACCCAAAAGACGTGAAGATGAATTGCGCCGCGTGAGCCACAGGAACAAATTAATATATCGTTATATATTTCCCAGTGTTCAGTGCACGTTGTGAATTTATTGTGTTACATTGTATTTATTCATACCTGGGCCAATGAATGACATGACTTCGAATTCTTATCTTGTTTCGACTACTACTGACAAATTGGTTAAGTGCTATTTTTTTTAACATGGAATTGCTCCATAAAATTAAGAAACCAGTAGCTGGTTACCAAACCATTCAGACATTCAGTTATCCTGTTAGTCAGACAGTCCAACTACTCAGTCATTAGATCGGTTAGTCATCAACTGTCCATTCAGCCAGTCAGTAAGTCGCAAATTCAGTTCTTTTTAGATTCATTTGCGGGACGCAGTAACCTAAAATGACTAGGTCTGCAGTTAGGCCGTAATTTAATAATCTCTGGTTTTTCTGCATGGGACGTAGAAATGCTCAACTTGGGCGGAAGAAGGGAGCATTGATGCCAAATATTAATTTTGAGTCGAAATGTCGAAAATGCGGTAGTGGAACAATGTTCGAAAATAAAACAGAGAACTGGCAACGTGCCTGAACAACACATAACTGTCGGCCAATGCTGTTTCAGAGCGGACATCGCTGAAATCTTTGTTGGCTAATGCCCGGTCACTGATGCGAGAAAATATTAAATCGCCGCGAGGCTGTAATGTTGGGATATATATTCTGTGACTGTAACGTGTATGTCAACATGCAGCTACGCCAGGGGCAGACGCAGTTTGCAGTCAGAGCGCATAGCGAATGCCTGCTCACAGTGAGAGCCTGTTCCGATTGTGTCCAGTTCACTGGCGTGAGAACTGAGGTTGCCTGGACCTTGACTGACCGCTGATGTTACAGCAATGGCGTCGGACGTTACAGTTAACCGCACATTTGTGATAGTTCATCACGCCCGATTCTTTTGCATGTATTTATTTGTTTATTTACGTTCTGCATAGGCCATCTAGCTTCGAATGATAGAATGATTATAAATAATGGATTGGAGATAAGCGAGAGAAACCTTAATTATTACTAAATATAGCCCACAGAATGAGAATTGAACCCGAAAAATTACTAATACAAATCACAAGTCTTAACCACAATTACGGTCGACGAACACACTGAATATTTCCCTTCCGAACATTCGTCACAAGCTGTATTTAATCCACGCTTTTAATTTTCGGGTGCATAAGTAACGCCTGGCGCCATGTCAGTTTGGATACTCGGGCGTGAGAACACATGCGAAACAAGGGCCACCTGGGGCCGCACATTTTAGGGGAGGCACCTTTAATATATGTCTTCGTCTGTTTCTATTTATTTTTTGTTAAATAAAAAATAATTTTTGCTCATCTCATCTTCGCATCATGACTGCTTCGTGATAGCAACCTAAACATATTATTCAACAATGGAAATAAAATTGTTTTAAGAACTGCAATAATGGTTTTCGTCACATTGTCTAAATGTTTCGTGTTTTTTATTGTGACGAAATTTTGAGAAAGTTAATATACTTTTATCTTCGAGGTGGCCGGAATTTCTCCTCCTCTGGGGCAGAACTTAGGCTTTCGCCAGTCCTGATCATATTTTCGTTACAACAGAACCGTACCCTGGCGAACTTGCGTTAACAGTCAGAATAGCGACAACAGACGTATGAGAAGATTTAACTTCTAAAACGTCTTATTGAGAACACTGTCCAACATAATCAT